CCGTATAGAGACTTTTTGAGTTTGCACACTTGATTTTCATCATTTATGATGTTGAAGCCTAATGGTATAGTCATGAAGACTTCTTCTTCTAGTTCCCCATTGAGAAAGGCATTCTTAATGTCTAGCTGTTAAAGAGGCCGATCTAGATTCATTGCTAAAGTCAGGAGAACTCGAGCTGTATAGAGTTTTGGTACTGGTGTAAATGTTTATGTGTAGTCGATGCCATATGTTTGAATGTACCCTTTGGCAACTAGATGAGCTTTATAGCATTCTATTGTCCCTTTTGCCTTGTATTTTACATTAAAAACCCATTTGCAGCCTATTGGTTTCTTCCCTTTTTGTAGGGTTACCACTTCCAAAATGTCATGTTTCTTCAATGCTCTCATTTCCTCCATTATTGCCTCACTCCATTTGGGTGATTCCAAGGTCTCTTGAATATTTCGAGGGATTTCTGTTTTATCAAAGTTAGCAGTGAAAGTACGAAACCCTGTAGATAGAGCATTATAAGATAGGAATTGTGAAATAGGATGGAGAGTACATGACTGAGTTTGTTTTCTGAGGGCAATAGGTAGATCATGATTTGGAGATTCGTTGGAGGATTCCTTATCAAGTCCGATCACAAGTTCCGACTCTCTTGGCGCATCAGGTGTACGAGTTTCCTTATACTTTGATTTGGACTTTCTTGAGTAAACCAGTATCTCCTCGTCACCTCGCTTTCCACCATCTCCCCTTGAATTCAAGTTTGCTTTTGTATATGGCACACTAGAAGGTAGGGTGGTAGGTTTTGTATGTGTTAGGTCAGACCGGGAAAGGCTAAACTCTAAAAATTCTTGATTAGAGAACCGATCTTCACACCCATTCTCCACCTGAAGAGTAGGTTTGTGAAAGTAAGGTATGTTTTCAAAGAAGGTGACATCGAGGCTAACAAAGACCTTTTTAGTTTACGGGTCTTAGCACTTGTAGCCTTTTTGAGTGGTTAAGTATCCAATAAACACACATTTGATTACATGTGGGTCAAGTTTATTTTGATAATGGGAGTGAACATGTACAAATATGGTACTTTCAAACACTTTTAGAGGTAGATTTGAGCTAAATTGGGAAGTAGGAAAATATTTTTGGAGTTTTTGTATAGGTGAGTTGAATGATAGAGTATGACTAGGCTTACTCACATTAGCTTCCTCAAAGTAGTACAGTCCCTCCCTTATACTCCTTAGCACTGTTAATCGTCTTCTCCGATGAAAGGTCCTGAAAGATACAATAAGATGTAAAGAAATTCGTAGAGCAATTTGAATTTTTGGTTAACTAACAAATAGATAATAAGTTATAGGACCAATTTAGGACAAGACGTACAGAATTCAATGTTATGGACTTAGAGATTCAAATACTCCCTTTTCCTGCAACAGATGAGAGTGAACCTTCTGCAATTTTTACTTTAATGTATCCTGCGTGGGTAGAGTATGAAGAGAATAAGTGATATGAGTCTGTCATGTGATATAATGCATCGGAGTCAATAATTCACGCGGTTTTATATCGTGAGATGTTTAGAGCTCTAAGAAAGTTACCTTTATGGGCCAAGGAATTAGAAGGACCTTAAGGGGACTGCTGACTAGGTGTTTGAAGACTTCAAAACATTTGTAGAGTTGATCCAGTTTGGAATTGAAAGCACCGTTTGAAGTTGGGAAAGTTTTCATCTCAGCTTGGTACCTTCAACTCTTCGTGGTTTTTCTTGGTTTCCAGCCTGCAGGTTTTCATGAATTTACCAGCAAGTGTCTTCGTTTTGCCGCGGCCTATGACAGTTCACACCAAGGTCGTCCCCGTTGCTTTGAATTAGACCTGTCAGTGCCTCCTTTTTATGATAGGCCCAAATTACCACCTCCTAATCCAGCAGGCCAAATTCACTAGAATAATTATTTTTTGGTCAAAATCCAACCGGCCCATTTAATTTAAATGGCCTGAACCCAGTTGTTGCCTCGTTCCTTAGCCCAAAGCCTTTCACAATTGGAGAAGCCTTTGCAGCCAAGGCCGACGCTTCTTCGGCAGATTCCTTCATCATCACCTGTCGGCGCGCCTCTTCTCGTCGCACATCTCTGACCACTTCACCGAGTAGGAGGCAGCAGTCAACGACCTAATATTCTGCCTCTGACGTCGTCGAGCTCGCAATTCAAGCTTGCAAGGAACTTGTATACTCTCTCATTCTCTTGTTGCTTGTATAAGGTACTATCTTGTGGGCACTTCCATTCTTCGTCGACACTGAGGTCCAATTCTTGCTAGAGTGAGACCATCTCCATGTAGTAATTTGTTACGTCTTGTGAGCTTTGCCTTATTTGCTATAATTAGCTTTTAATTTCGAAGATGTGTGAAGAGTCTTCTGAGCCCGGGTAGGTCTCCTTCATCTTTTGCGGTGGGAGGAAATAGGTACGTCTTTCCCATGGATGGTTTCATGGAATTCAAAAGCCATGCCGTTACCATAGAATTTTCGGAATTCCATCTAGGCCCATGTTTGGTACACATTATTTAAAAATACATTCTTTCAAAACTCATTTTCATCCTCACATTTTTCAATAAAATAATATTTTCCATCACATCAATAACTTTTCCTTACTTTTTAACCACATATTTTCTATCATATCACTATTTAAAATACATTATTTCCTCAATAATATCAGTCAAACACACTCTAGGTAGAAGTTTCTCATCGGTTGGCCTCTTTGTGTCTCCGGTGAGGTATCCCAGTTTTCCTTTTCCGTCAATCACTAATCTAGTTTACCATAATTTTCGGATTGAAACTCCTAGTTGCCTCGAATGAAGAAAAAGTTATCTCCTGTTGTGCACCTGGTAAGGAGATTACAAGTGTTTTGCATGTCCTGGGAAAACGAGGACAAAATGAATAACATTTCTCTTGAAGGTTCGCAGAACCCCTCACGGCATGGCGTGGTAGATAGAGCGAAATATGTCCAGTGGGAACTCCCCCTCTACACCCGCAGATCCCCATAGAAGAGAAGATCCAACCTATTGGGCCTACCCATGTGGAGGAAATTGGATAGAAGCAAGATTTAAAGAAGAAAGAATGTTTCTGAAAAAATTGTAGGGGAATCTGAGTCCCATGTCCATGGATCGTTTATTAATAGCTATGCAATCTGGAGGTGGATGGCATGCCGTATGAAACTGATCAGGATGTAAAAACTTTATATCATTAGGAATATTAAATCGAGATCTAATTTCAAATAAATCTTGTTCAGTAAGATTTGTAGAAGTTCCTAAAGCTTCAAATGTCTCACCATCATTCTGACTAAGGTTAATAGGCCAATGTGAAGGCTTGCCTACCCCACTATGCGCCCCACTAGGCCAAAAATTGCTGGATTAACACACATCCAAATGAGTAACTGTATAAGGGAGCACATCGATAAGCAGCACTTCTACAGAAGAAGAATAATCTCTTAAGAGTATCATTCCTAAGATTGGAAGTGATGGAGTCAGAATCATAAGATATGTCCTGAAAATCGGTTTGGAAAGATATCTTGAGAAAAGCTTGAAGGGAAAAATGGGAAGAGATCACAAATGAAATCCTCAAGAAAATAAAGAATGTAAAATCTAGCAAAGAATGCCACATAAATGATGACATATTTTTAGATTCAAATGGAACGTGTAAACTGTCGAAATTATGCCAGTAAGTCATCCTAGCCGTTGAAGATGTATAGGCGGTTGATCGAATCCCGAGATGGACGGGCTGAGTAACACATAACTCCCGCTCACGCTAAAAACATATGGGCCCAAAACATTGAACAATTAAAAGTCCTAGATTTAATATAAATGATAAAATCAAACTTTGGGGGACTATTTATTAATCCTCGCAATATGATCCGTGAACCTATCCCATCGCGTCCAAAGCATAGAGCAACACGTGGGGGAAATGCAAGCATGGAAGGTTCGCATGAGGCTAGCTTACCCTTTCCCCATCCAGGTTGGCTACGGCTGTTAATAAAAATACACGTGTGCGAATGAAGAAAGCGTGATACTCTTAATAGAAATGATTATAAGCTAGCCAATAAAGAGTTGTCATTTTTTTAAATGACCAAATTACCCCAAAACTTTGAGGGAAATCTATAAATACCCCTCCTTCAAAGAGAAAACTATGCAATTCAAATACTTCCCACTCAAATAGCTATTTTTCTCTTGCTCCAAATTTGAGCATTGAAACCAGAGAGCTTAGGAGGAGAAAATCATAGTTAGGTGAGAGGATTTGTTAATTTGGTTTGTACCATCAACGTATATGTTGTTGAGCAATATTTTATGGTTGAACAGAAAGGATTGCATTTATATTTCTGAAAGAAAATAGAAACATTATTTCAAATTTATTTGTTGAAGGGATAGCTGGGGTGTCCAACAAAGTATTATAGTTCATTACATTTTTCCATGGAAGATGAATGTGTACATGTACAAGTAAAGTATACGAGAAGCAAGGATTGGTTTGAGGTGGAGGAAATGGATTAGAAGATGTCTTAGGCCAGTTTCATTTTCAATAATTATTAATGAGAAACCAAGGGTAGATCTCCGGGATTCAATAACCCCCTTTGTTCACATTTGTGGTAGATATCTTAGGGCGTCTAGTGGAGATGTGAAATTGGCTTCTTTTTTGAAGGGATTTGAGGTAGGATGGTGTAGATTGTTGGTCTCACGTTTATAATTAGATTCTTTTAAAACCTTTGGAGGATCATTTTCTTACCTACTAGGAAACTAGAAAGTTTTCACATACATATTGGGTCTTAAAACGTAAAAATGAATTAGCGTTTGGTAGTTATAATCATTTTCAGTGCCTTCTGAATACCTTAAATCAACCACAGGCAACCCGTTACATTGAGATGTTTGGTTCCCAGTGATTGAGAAAAAGTTTGTGCAGGTGGAAGAAATCTTTCTTATGTCTAGGTAGGTAGACTAACTCCTGATGTATTTTTTTCAGTAGAATCCATGTCAATTTTTGAGATTCCATGTAAGGAGGCTTCTGGTATACAAATAATGTGAGATTGTTTGTTGCAAGGTGGCAGAGAAGATAATAAATTGCCTGTTAACTTGGAATTTAGCCCGTGCTTGATGGCCATTATTATGATAAAGAGAAATTAGGGGAAAATAATGTTTTGAGCAGTGATTTTTTGGAAAATGTGTGGTTAAAATGTAGTGAAAAGTTTTAAATTTACATACAAAATATTTTATTGTGAATGTGTGGTTGAAAATGAGTATGAGAAGTAAAGAGTTTCGAAATAAAGAGAGTCAAGCAGTGGCTTAGTGTATAGAAGCAAGAGTAATAAAGGGTTGGGAATGGGTAACCTCAAGCTGAAAATTCTGGCATTGACAAGAAAACGACTTTGGAGATTCCTTTGTAGCATTTATCTTTATGGGAAAGGGTTGTCAATTGCAGATTTTGAGTGGCCTGCTTTGGAATTCTAATGTGATTGTGAGAGGCTATTTTAGGAACCTTTGGAAGTTTACATCTCAAATGCTTTCCTCTTTTCTGTTCCTCTAATGCCTCATATTTGTTATAAAGATAGTAAAGTGCTATTTTTCCTTTGGGATATTTTCCTGCAAATCCTTTTTCCCAGCTCTTATTGACTTGTCGAATTTGTCATTTTTAACTTCATTTGAAAATCTTTCATCCTTGCAGGATTAGTGTTTGATTCTTTGGTTAGGATTGATATTTCACTTCAATTTCAGTTGAAACATGGGTTTAATTTACACTCCATGTTGGACAGATATTTACCATCTTAACGAGGAAAAAGGGAATCCTTTCAACCCTGTGAGCGAAATACAGTTTTTTTTTTTTAAAAAAAAGAGAGGAAGGAAAGTCCACATAATCAGATTTTCTGAAGACTATTGAATTTGGTTACAGTGTGGGGTTGGTAGGACGTAAAAGTCATGTATTTAGGTATAGGTAATGTCATTTATAAAAAAATAAAATTGAATAATGACATGGATATGAAAATTTTATTACTCAAGTAGCTTTAGCTTTGGGTGGTCCAAATTTTATGTCTCTTCAATAATTCTTTTCTTTTTTTCTNTGGAAAAACTGAAAAAAAACCGACCCAACCCGGTCGGGTTGGGTCGGGTCGGGCGGGTTGATCGGTTCGGGCGGGTTTTTGCCCACCCCTACCTGTGAGCGAAATACAGTTTTTTTTATAAAAAAAGAGAGGAAGGAAAGTCCACATAATCAGATTTTCTGAAGACTATTGAATTTGGTTACAGTATGGGGTTGGTAGGATGTAAAAGTCATGCATTTAGGTATAGGTAATGTCATTTATAAAAAAATAAAATTGAATAATGACATGGATATGAAAATTTTATTACTCAAGTAGCTTTAGCTTTGGGTGGTCCAAATTTTATGTCTCTTCAATAATTCTTTTCTTTTTTTCTAAAAGCAGGAACTTTTACATAAATCTAATGACTTCTGGTTTTCCAGGTAACTTCTGGAATGAATCCATCACTCAACCTCTACGGATGTACCTTAATTGGTAAGATATAGTCTTTATTTTAGTATTATTACGGCATGATTTTGATTTGATATCTGCATCTCACCATATAATCATGTAAACATAATAGTAAAAGCACAATTATCTTGGGGAAATCTATGCTATCCCGTCCCCTTCGTCTTCCTTAATGGTCATGGATGGATTCTTTTATCTAACGTTGCAAAATATTCCAATTAAGCGAACATTTTGCCCATTGTAATGTTGAAATACATGAATGGTTGCTCCTTGTTTTCTGTATTTTGTCTTTTTCATTTTTCTTTATTGTCCCTCTTAAAAATTTCCTTTTCTTTTCATGACACAAATCTATAGTTGGTCTCAAGCTAATAAGAGACATTGCTAAATTGAAAGATGTAATTTAGAAGGCTAACGATCTTTCTTCAGTGGGAAACAAGAATTACATTGGACTCGGTATCTTTTTGATAAAAACATTTGTGAAATACTCATTTACCAAGCGATTAACTTCCGATATCTGGTGATGAATGACAGGTATTTGGAATTAAATTCTATTATTAAATGACACCTGGTTTTATTTAAGAAACACTTGCACTTGACAAGAAGGCTGGAAGTGTATGTACAATATTGAGACTCAATTTTTTGTTTACATTGAAATACCTGATCAATTTCCTAATTTTCCTTTTGGTATCATTACATTTCAAGGTCCATTAGCGTTATCAGGTGGTTCTCACCTCATTAAATGACAAAGCAGTATAGTTATGCATTTGTAGCACTACAGACTCAGAAAAATATACAGCAGACTTCAGTTTATTTCTGTATTAAGTTTCATTTATTGGTACTAAGTGAGAGCTTATACATATTTGACAATATAAGAACAAAATAGATTTGACAACTTGACACTTCTGCTTGTGAGATGACTTTTCAGTTCCTTCTCGAAAGCACCTAAAATATGTATAGAGGATCATCCTAAATTTAACTTTCCTCATCATCAATTTGTATGAGCTCTATGTTGACAAAATTATCCCGCAAGTCTACGGGTTCGTTGTACAAGTAATAA